CACTATTGTTTAATATGTCTATAATGTACTATACTTTAGCCCACAAGCTCTAATTCAGGTCATTCTTTTTTTTTAAAAAAATACATTTAAAAAGCAATCACCCAGATATCCCGTTCTTTCTTTCCCTACCCATTTCCAACTGGTATAGACAAGTGATAGGATCATTGTCAGGTGGGTTTTGTCACTTAGGTAGGGTATGATATTATGGTCCCGTATCCCCAGCCTGAACAGAGTAACACAAGAACCTAAAGATAATAGCATGTAAAATACAAACATTGAATAACAGTTAGTCAACTGAACATTTAGTGAATAACAACAGTTGTCAACAGGAACAATATTTAATTATACTTAATTGTAATTTTCAAACATATCATTGAAGTTAGCATTTGATTAATAATTAGTCTAGTATCACACCAACAAGTTTCCGTAACACACCTTCACGCTCACACTCCATCTCGGCGCCCAACAGAATCTCAACTCCCTACACCTCAACACCGATAGTTACTACACAACTCCAAGAGCGTAAAGACGACACCTTTCCCATAGCCCAAAGAAAACTTCACGCGCGCATGACAATCGTAGCATATTGAGAAAGCTAAAACCATGAAATTGTGCCAAACAAAAACAATCAGTGAAAAATATTTCTAATCGCTCAGATTTATTATTGTTATCTTTTAGGGGTCCATGGGCAAGTTTTGACTATATAAAGGGCTCTCTCTAAATGTTTGATAACCTCTGCTTTATATGATAACCAAAAAGTTTCTTCGCAATAGAAGCCTAAGTCAAATCTTAGTTTACTTTTTTTTTATGAACAAACCCTTATATCATTAACCTGTATCAGTCCTGTAAACATATATTTGGTTAGGGTTGATTTAATAACTGTCCATATTTGTGTCTTTATTTATAGAGTCACAGATTAGTGTGCCCAAATGTCCTTCAGACTTGCACTTACTGTGGGCAAAGTAAACCAAGAGCTCAGGTCAGTTGCAGAGTTTCTCAAATTAAGTTTGTATTATTATTTCCACATCTTGTCAACACAAAAAAAAGAAAAACATAATGGTAGATCAAAATGGAGTTTATGCATTGAACACGCGCGATTTATCCGTGTTGATTAGAAAATGTTTTTTAGTTCTTTATAAACAGAATCTTAAAAACTTCATCCATTTTCAGACAATCTGTTATGGTAGATATATTTTTTGGGGTAAGAGATCATCACAAAATTATTTTATTTTTTTTCATCCTACTCAAAATTATATTTTCTCAACATTGGTTTTTTTCTACTAGATATGGTGGTTTTATTTGCTACTTGCAGATGAACCTACCATTCCGCATTAAGCGGACCCGTCCCGCTAAAAATAAAAAACAAGTAAAAACTCACATGTTACGCCGTTCCTCATTGTCACATTTATTTTGTTCCTCAAAGTCCGAATTCCAACAAAATAAATTGTCATTATTTTTTTTATTAATGCAAAAAGAAAATATTGAATACAAAATTCATGTATTGTTTATATTTCATCCTATTGTGGCCTACATTTGGTTAAGCTTTTCGCTAATGCTTCGTTTATTCAATGAAAAGAGTTTTTTATAATTATGCCAAAACATTTTTCCGATATGTCTCTAACACATTGACTTCTAAAAAAAGAATAGAATTTAGTGAGGACAAGGATTCTAGACTATGTCTAAATTCTATTTTGTTTATTAATTATATTTAGAAGTACACGTATTGCCCACATATTTTCTAGATCTAGTGCTGTAAAACTAACAAACAAACAAAAAGTATTTATAACAAAACAAACTAAGAAGATTCTGCACCAATCTTGAAGAAACTTGCCATGAATATAAGAAAACAAAAACATAATTCAAAACCCGAAAAAAAAAAGCTGGGTAAAATAGCTAGTTGTAAATAATAATGTATAAAATCTGGCAATCTGGGTATATTTAAAACTTGAATTTAGATATAGGCATTTTCATTATTGAATATTGATCTACAATGTTTACAATCAATTTAGATGCCTATTCTACCCTGTTGTAATATATAAATGTAGTAATAATCAAACTGATAATAGATTTAGATTAGAAAAACTTATAGGAGAGCAATAAAATTCACTAGAAATAGATTCTATTTTCTAAATATAGCGCTAGATCTAGTATTACTTTAGATTAGGGCATTTTACTTAGTTTTGTAAACACTGCAGATCTATTTCCGTTAAGGAAAATGCCTAAATCTATTTTCTAGTTTTAAATATACCCAGATTAATAGTACCTTATGAACATGGTTTTAAGTAGCATCATATATTAGATCTATTCTAGGCTCATAAATATCGTCTGCAAAGAAGCATACTTGATCTGATGGGCAATCGGTACATTAATTAAGTTGATTTCATTTGATTATTTTAAAATATTGTCTATATTTAAAATGTCCGTTTCTAATATCGTAAAGATATAGATAATTGAGCTCGACTTTTTATAAACATTACTAAAAATATAATAGCATCATTAGGCCTAGATATAGACCTAGTTCTAAGTCTCTAAATATACCGTCTGTGAATAAGTCTACTATCAATAGACCTAATAGGCTTACTTTTTTTTTTTCATAAACTAGATTTTTAAAAATCTCTTATTACTTTATATAGATTATAGATGTATAAAAATTTACTTTTTAATAAAATGGGTCCTTTCTATAGATTGCACATTTATTAACTTTGTTTATATTAGGCATAAAATGGGTCCTTTCTATAGATTGCACATTTATTAACTTCGTTTATATTAGGCATTAGGCCTATATGTAGGCCTACGTTTTGTATTAATTACTGGTGACTGTTCTTATGCAAATATGAATTAAACTAATGAGAGATAGGAGTGACATTCTCTATGGATTTAGTTGTTTTTTTCAAATGTATATAAGTAGATCTACATGTATAAGTAGCGTATACAAAAATTACCCAGATCTAATTGAAAATACGTAACATGAAATTTACTAAACAAATGGCAACTTCAAAACAGAAGCATCTACTTAGATTGAATTTGACGCTTGTCTGAAAAAAGTTTTTATCGATCTTTTTATAAAAAGCCAAAAAAAACATTTTCCAAACAACACTGGTAAATTGAGCACGTTTGAGGTGTAAAATCCTTCAATGTCTTTTATTTTGTAGGCATTGCAGGATGCGCGAGAACATGCACAAAGAACCTGTTTTATATACGGCTTTGTAAAAAACCCTCAAAGTCGTCATTCTTTTAGTATAGTTCCATGGTTTGATGAAGTACATCAGTTCAATAGATTGTTTAGTTTGAATTAGTAGAATATTTCCTATTAATTGTTTTACCGCTTTGGAAAACATGAAGGTTAAAACAAAAAATCAACTGTTGTTGTCTTCACTTTTGGTTGATTTTAAACTTTTTCATCTACCATTATGAATCATACATTTAATTTTTGTTCTAGTGTAAATTTAATTTTTAACTTTAAAAAGAAACCTCACAGGTTATAGTAATAATATATATATTGTCTGTGGCAATCTTTTCCCTTTCAACTTCTTGTTTGTCTAAAGTGGCCATAAAGGCCAATGCTTCAAGGTTCCATGCTAGCCAACTTCTGGGTCAGCTCTTTTGTTTTTGTACAGACCTTTGTTGCTGAAAGGAAGACTTCAAGTCTTGATATATATATATATATATATATATATATATATAGCTACATCTCTATCTGACTCCCTGCAAACACTGCTCAACACAACACAATCAACTCAAGAACTTGACAACTCTGGCTTCAAATAACATTATATATTAATGTCTAATATACAAATACAATAATAGACAAATACAATTGACATCATTAAACATCTTATTTGAAACCATTGTACTTCATTTGTAATGGACTCTGTCTTCTCTTAAACTCAACTGTCCTGGACTGACTTCACTCTTGACTTACTTTACCGGACTGTCTTGCTCTGTTCTGGACATTGCCACATTGAATGTGGCATTATATAATGTCTCATTATATTGGGTCTGCGAAATCTTCTCAAAAAGGTTAGAAATGATCTAATGGGTGATTACCGTGATATTCATGTGTAATGACACAGTTGACTGCCAGCAGGACATATATTCATGTCCTAACTCTTTCAGTGCAGTGTTACTCTCAGGAATAACTTCTCTAGCATTGGTGAGTGTGGCGTTTCTCTCAGGGAATAACTTAGTATATAATATTTATTTCACTATCTTTTTAATGATTAGCTTTTGATTTATCTTTTTTTTCCCTGGATGTTAGAGTGATTGCTCTTTGTTTTGGTTGTAAATAGGATGCAGGAAAAAAAAAAGACCACATTGTGCAGACCCGAAAAAATTTAAATAATCAACTTCTTTGTGCATTTCTGCATCTTTTATGAAATTTGTAGTAATAAAATGTGTTTAGTTTTGTGATTTTTTCAATATTTATAGATTAAAAGCATAATTAAAAGTTTCAATTTCTCAGTATATAGATTTTTTAATATTTCTTTTTTCTGTGCTCAGATTATCTTATATAATACAGATGTTATTTCAAAAAGAAGATGATTACGCATCATGAATTCAGTCATGCATATTAACCAATGACTTAAATTCTGCCAAGTCACTGGTTTTCCTGGCTAGCTCAGGCAACCCATTCCATGCTCTAATAGCACTAGGGAAAAAGGAGTACTTGTACAAATTTGTCCTAGCATATGGGATGAGGAATGTGCCTTTAAATGATTAAACTTAATAAAAAAAAATATGTTCTTGAATAATTTAATCTATTTATTATAATTTTGTAGACAATTCCTTTTCCTTTAAAATAAAATCAAATATGTTAGGTTATAAAATAAAATAAAAAGCTACATTAGTTTAAGTAGCTCTACCCCCTTGCAGAGTTTTGTTTTTCCCAGAAATATGATCCATCCAATGATTATTATTTTATTATTTTCTATTGCTTCGCCTTCACAGATGAAATCCCATGTGGAGATTGATTGCCAACATGTTCAAATCAGTTGTATGTTTTACTCACTTGGATGTAGAGATCAAGTAAGTCAAATTGTAGTTCTCACATTATCATAATAATTACAAGTCTTAGAGTTGATACTGATATTTTAGTCAAATTGTAGTTTTCACATTGTCATAATTAGTCTAAGAGATGTTTTAGTAAAATTCTTTTTTTTTAATTCTAAATTTTAAAAAAAATATTCTAGATGCTGCGCAGTCTGGAAGATGAGCACTTAAAGTCTCACAGTATTGAACATCTGAACCTCCTGTGCCATGCAGTCAACAAATTAGTCAACCATTTTGAAAATATCATCAATAAACCAAGCAATGGAGAAGTAGAACTCAGCAGCCGACTCTTAAGATCAACTTCTACCTCAAGCAATACTGTTTCTTTCAAGACAAGCAGCATGTCTCCTTTGGAAGGTCCATTACTCAACATTAATCCATTCACAGATCTTTATTTAACAGACACTAAGATAGAACACCCAATGACTCATGAGGAGAGTTTTCTCTCTGGCGCTTCCAATAGTCCTAGCACTGGCCCGAGCAGTCACTCCACATTTCCAAACAGAAATCCATTGTTACTTCAAAGAGCTAATGCCAACTCTGATATCTTCCCATATGATAACTCTGCCATCAAACAAGTGGTACAGAGTTCCTCTTCTGTAAGACTAGTTCAGGAATTGAAGTCTTCCTTTGAGGAACAAATGTCTGTACAAAAGCAAAAAATTGAAGAGCTGACCCATAAGTTAGCTAGCATGGAACAGTTAAATGCTGACTTGGCACTGAAAGTTGGGAAGCTTAAAGGAGAACTAGAAGAGAGTGAAGGCAGGTTTTGCAATGGAGATTTCTACTGGAGAATTCCAGAGTTCAGCCAGTATCAAATGAAGGCTATCTCTGGGGAACCCAGCATGCTCCATAGTCCTCCATTCTATACTAGTACATGGGGATATAAAATGTGCATTCGAGCTAATTTGGCTAGCAACTTGAATGAAAATGCTGGACATTTTCTCTCTCTGTTTATTCATTTTATGCAAGGTCACAATGATCATTTTATCACATGGCCTTTCTCAGGGAAGATAATTCTTAGTATTATAGACCAAAATCCAGACCGCAATTCACAGGTCAACATTAGTGAAACTTTAATTCCAAAACCCAATCTGATAGCTTTTCAAAAGCCTACTAGTTTTAGAAACCATAAAGGCTTTGGCTACATTGAATTTATTTCTTTGATGACACTGAAAACTAAAAACTATCTAAAGGATGATTCATTGATAATTAGAGCTCAAGTGTTTCCTGAAAATAATTAACACCTTTATGAGCAGTGTACTTTAACTCATTCAGTGTGGGGTTACTCTAAGGGAGTAGCTTCTGTGGCGCTGATGGTAAAGTTCCCCTTTCAGACCTTGTGGTCTATAGGGCAGATGATGTAAAGGTCATCTGTTTCTGTGGCCAACAGTTAATGAGGGTGTCATGTGACCAGCACAACGACCCACCGCCTTTACTTTTCAAAAATTTTAATTTATATAATAAAACTTTTAAACGTTACGTTAGTCTTAGTAACTCTAACCACCCTGCAGGTTTTTGATCATTTAGAAATACTCAATTGTTTTGATCAAAATAATTCGCTGTGAAAGAGTTAAGTATAGGAGACAAAAAAAAGGGGGGGAAGGGAATAAGAATGTTATGGCCCATTTGATCCTTAATTGTCTCAAAGTGAATTAGTTTGAAGGGATCCATTTGGTTCAGTAAATATTAAAGTGCCCACAAAGCATGGCAAAGAAAAATAATGAAGATTAGCAAGAACTGAATAAGATAGAGACAGTGGAAATTTGGCATGTACATCATACATTGCTAATAAGATTTTAAAGTGACTTAAAGGACTTCTCTGTAGTGTCTAATATGTTATGTTCAATGACAAAATTAACTGATGGACAGAATCTCATAGTTATTCAGGTGGACTGGCAGGAAGACATTGATTATGAAACAAATGTTCAACATGTAGAAATGAAGAAAATTTGTTTCTCAGAATAATTCTAATAGGTAGAACCATTGTAGTTTCTTAGCTTGATATAAAAAGATTGAAAATTTCTTTTAAATCTATTAACATTTGAAACTATCTTGGTGACAGATGGAGTACTTTTGCATATTTCTGATGTGTGGCCTAGTGGCATAAAACATTTCATTGTTTTAGACCCAAACCAGTTTTTTGGCTGCTGAGCAGTAAGCTCTTTTGCAGTCTTGACAAGGAAAAAACATGATGTTTTTTTTTACAGGTTATGTTGCATTGTTCTTTAAAAAATCACTATTAATTGCTTGACAAGACTGAGAAGGATACTGCCAGTTCACTTATCACTGTACTGCTGCATGGCTGTAACAAACCAGCACAAAAACAAAATCTCCTTGCATACAGAATGAGATGTTTTAAGAGCAACATCAAATCATATAAGGCACAATGACAACTAAAAGGTTGTTAATGCCATGTCAAAGTACCAAATAAGAAAAACAGGTTCGGTTACAGTACTGTGAAAACAGCTTTTAGAGTATACAGCGTAAAAAGACTCAACACTGCCGCAAATCTTAATCAAACCTCTTAGTTGTTGCTAATAAAACTGGTAAATAAAATCAAGTCATTATGGGGGGAAAAAAAGGGGGGGGGGGGTGTAGCAGAATGAATTCACTTTAAACAAATTATTACAGGACTAGATACAGGTTAAGATGTGAATGTCCAAAATCTGCTTGTGAACTTTGTCTATACTGTCCATCAGTTATAGCTTTATCTTTAACTAAACCTGTATACATAGTGTAAGATCAATTATTTATCTTTGACTGATAACTAACTGTATACATAGTGTAAGATCTATTCTTTATCTTGACTGCAATAAATATTATAAGTATTGATACTGAAAAAGTCTGATGATAAAAATATTTTTGGACAATTTTCTTGGTTAGGCCAATAATAGAATATGCATCCACCGTTTGGGACCCCTCAACTCAAGAAAACATTAAGAAACTGGAACAAACACAAAATAGAGCAGTGAGATTCATAACAAACGAATATTCACATTTGACTAGAGTAACACCATTAGTAAAATCACTAAATTTAGAAAGCCTTCAGGACAGAAGACTCAAAAGTAAAACACTGAACCATAATCTTCAAATACAAAAACAAAATTTAATAACATACTCTGGAAGACACAAAAATAAAGGCACATTCCTCGTCCCATATGCTAGGACAAATTTGTACAAATACTCCTTTTTCCCTAGTGCTATTAGAGCATGGAATGGGTTGCCTGAGCTAGCCAGGAAAACCAGTGACTTGGCAGATTTTAAGTCATTGGTTAATATGCATGACGCGTAGGACGTAATAATCTTCTTCAATCTTTTTTGAAGTAACGTCTGTATTATATAAGATAAGAAAATACACATTTCCCCTTTGGCATGTAGGCATCTCTGCTAAGATGGAGTGACCTCTCCATTGCTGGGGGAAAGCCTGGGCAGTAAATTTGCGAGTGCTGGGCTGCCCACACATCAACACTTACCTCTCTTCCAAATGAAGGGATGGCAAGCCATCGCTATTTGGGGTAAGGTGGCTGCAGGAGTTTGCCAGAGAGGAGTTATATAATATTTTATAATTGCCTAGGATCCTTATTCAAGGGTTTACTGATATTTTGGGTTTTTAGCACATCGGCAAAATGTTGTGCCAAAGGGTTTACTAAAAGGAACACTCACTAATGAAGGTAAAACAGGAAAGACAATTTAAATTATGTTAAAAAAGTATAAAAACAATAACTTGATAATTAAAGTATAAATGAATGAATAGGCCGAAATTCAAGAAACCTTTGAATGAATTTACATTTGTTACATGCAAATAGACGTTATTATTGTCAGGTTTATTTACAGCAGAATTGAACTAAAAAAAAATATTGAATTCCCAGTCAGATTAATTATGAAAATAAAACTCAATGAAAAACTACTAATAAAAATTGGACTTTTTTGTACAACAACTGAAGTAACTTCTGTTCATTGGTTTGTTTACATACATTTTTGAAAAAGTACAATTAAATGTTTTAAAAAAATAGACAAAACATAAAAAAACATAAAAAAAAAAAAGTCTAACTCATAGCTAAAAAAAAAAATAATTAAAAAACTAAGGATTAAAAAAAACAAATCAGTAGTTTAGATAAGTGTGAAGTACCAAATCTGTGAGGGAATGACAATGTTCTCTTAGAATGATATCTACATTCCCGCCAACACTTTGTACAACATATCACAAGGAAATAAAAAAAACAAGAGTTTGCTTGTTAGTGTCTCAAGAAAAGAAAAATTAGCTCTTGACACTAACTACAACTATAATGGTGACTATAATGGCTATAACCAGGAGTATAACAATCAAACAACACATCTTCTTCCTGGACTTTCTCTGAGGAGAGAAATATAACATTGCAATAAATTTAATGGATGTTAAGCATTTATCACACTAACACTCTACTAGGTGGCCAAGATAAAAGAGGCCCGAAGGTTATGACCTTACAGATCACTCAATCTATCTGGTTGGAATTTTTATTTGAGGGGTAACTAAGGGAAAAGTTAACAGTAACAACCCATATACAATTGAAGAGTTAAATACCAACACCTCCTTTCAACTGACGTTATTATTTATTATGGTTTAAGTAGAAATTATAATATATTATAATTTACTTTTCTGTAAATATTTGTGATCATGTTTAGTCATACCAGGCCTCTTTTAGCTTGGCTACTCTGTATTTGTTACTTGAGGCATCCACATTTGAGGAGTCAGTAATCATTTCTATAGAAGTATTATAGCAGTAGTGGCAACGCTGGTAAGGTTAACAGTGTGATCAATCAGCTTAAACATGTGAAAGGCCAGTCTGCTGCTAGCAATCAACTGTGTGAGAGGGACTATGAATCGACCTACAGGAAATGATGGTATGAACATTTCCACATACGCTAATCTGCTTCATAGCTTCAACGTGGCACTAGGGTGGAAATGATCACTAGAGGATGTGATTAGGCTAAATGAATAGCAAAGCAAGGCTCCTGTGGGAGTGTCTCAGGGAATGCGAGAGCTTTCCTTAGGTTTAGTTTAAGGCACATCTGCACAATTTTAGGCCATGTCGTGCCTGCATTCCCTTAAGGACTATTCTCTCTCTACATAACGGGCTAAATTCTATACAGTTAAACCATTAAAGTCCAGGTCTATTCACAG